AGTCTGACGATCTGCTGCCAGTTATAAGCACCTATGAGCAAGGTTTTGTGTTTGAAAAGCAAGCCTGTGTTCAAAGAAACCAAGAGTTTGGATCAGATCAGCAGAAGCTAGTGTGAGACACGTCTGGCCATCTTGGCTGTCAGGCTCCACCCCTACTATTTTTCTATTTTATGTGCCTACTCAGAAACAAAAACAAAAAAAACAAGCAGAAAAAGAAAAAGAAACACCCTTGTCTTGTCACCATTAAAACAATAACATACATTAACTGACATCCTCCTATATTTCCATTATTTGTCACATTGATAAGGGAGAGTGGGTACATTATTATTTATAAAATATTTTACCAGGAAAGATACATTGAGATTTCTCTCATTTTCAAGTATGTCCTGGGTCCACAAATCATAGCATTGTTACATTAGGGTACAATAAAATACAAAAACAATATTAATACACAATATATACAAAATGTAACATAGAGCAGGTAGGAAATATATAATCGACAGGTGCATTCGGTTTTGAGGTATGTAGAGAGGGGTCTCTTAAAGGACTTTAGGCTTAGGGAAGATTTTAAATGGTGCAGGAGGTCGTTCCACAATTGCGGTGCTCTGTAGGAGAAGGAGGATCGGGCTACTTTATTTTTGTATTGAGGTAGACTAGATAAAGTGCTGGTGCTGGATCGGAGGTTATAGGAGGTGGGAACAGCCGAGGAGAGCATTTTGCTCAGGTAGGGTGGGAGTTTCCCAGAAAAGCTCTTAAACACAAGGCTGGAAAGATGAAGGGTGCGTCTGGATTCCAGCAACAGCCAGTTTAGTTCTTTTAGCATGTCACAATGGTGAGTCCGGTAATTACATTGTAGCACAAATCGGCAGAACCAGTTATACAATGTGTTGAGTTTATTAATGTGGGATTGCGATGCAGCTGCATATACCACATCCCCATAATCAATGATTGGCATCAACATTTGCTGTACAATCTTTTCCTTTACTGTAGGGCTTAGGCAGGATTTGTTTCTGTACAGGGCACCTAGTTTTGGATAAAGTTTAGATGCAAGCTTTTCTATGTGCAGGCCAAAAGATAGATTGGGGTCTAATATCATACCCAAGTATTTGAAAGAGTGGACTGCGGTCAGTGTGCCATTTGAATTTGTTTTGATGGATAGGTGGGAATTGTGTAATTTGTGTAATTTAGGTACTGTTCCAAAGATCATTGTGACAGTTTTGTCAGTGTTCAGGAAGAGTTTGTTTTTTGTGATCCACTTTTCTACCTCTGTAAACTGGTCTTGGAGCACAGCCTCAAGCTGCGGTAAATTGGATTTGCTCGCATAGATTACTGTGTCATCTGCGTACATGTGTACATTTGAGGTTTTGCAGACATCAGGCAGATCATTTATAAATAATGTAAATAGTAGGGGGCCGAGAATGGAACCTTGGGGAACACCACACGTGACTGGGAGAGGGAGTGAGTCGCTGTCAGAAATGGACACATAGTGCGAGCGATCCGATACATACGATCAAAACCAGGTTAGCGAATGATCACCAATACCTGAGTTTTTGAGTTTGTGCAGTAGAATGTCGTGGTCTACTGTGTCAAATGCCTTAGCAAAATCAAGGAAAATAGCGCCTGTTAGGTCTCCTTGTTCGATGCCAGTTTGGATCTCATTGCAAACTTTTAAGAGGGCAGTTGTAGTGAAGTGATTCTGGTGAAAGCCCGATTGATCAGGTGTCAGATAGTTTGATTATTGGTAGTACTCACATAGTTGCGTATGGACAAATTTTTCTAAGATTTTTGACAATACCGGGAGCAATGATATTGGGCGATAGTTAGAAACCAAAGTCGTGTCAACACTTTTCTGGATAGGCACTACTCTCGCAGTCTTCCAAAGTTTGGGTATGTATACAGACACTAAGGATTCGTTAATTAGAGTTGCGACGGGTTTAGCAATTGCTAACGCACTGAGCTTCAACAGCATTGCTGGGATTTGATCAGGTCTGGTCTGGCTTTTCATTTTTAGATTAATAAGATGTTTTTTAATGACACTAACAGGTACAGGTCTAAAAATGAACTTGTCTGTATTGGACCTTTGCAAATTTAGTGGGACCTGATCCACATTTGTAGTTTCAGGATGCGTGTCATTTATTAGCTTGGCAATCAGGGCAGTAGAGCATCCGACAAAATAATTGTTAAAGGCATTTGCTACTTCTAAGGGAAGTTGTAGGGTTTGGTTATCCACTTTGACAGTGGAGGGTTGGGAGTGGATTGGGGAAGTTTGTAGTTTATTTATGACTTTCCAAAAGTTTCTAGGGTTTGAGATGTTATTGTTCAGATTTTCATAGAAATATTGGGCCTTGGCCAATTTTGTCTGTTTTATGCATATATTTCGCCATTGTCTATATGCACAGTGATCATTCATAGAGCCAGTACGCTTAAACTTTGACCACAAAGCTTCCCACTATATGGAAACCATATTTAATAATAAACACATAAATAAGATCACCTCAAAAGCAAATCTCCTCCTAGACATACTTAATGATAGTCCAATAAATATAATAAATTCTTGGGAACGGGATTTAGAAACAACGATCTCCATCGGAGATTGGTGCTCCTCTTTGAAACAACTATATAAAAACATCCATTGTTTGAATTTGGTGGAATGCCACTCTAAAATTATAAACAAATGGTATTTAACTCCAAATAATTAGCTAAAATGTATCATCAGTATAACTCTATATGTTGGAGATGTGGTAATGATACAGGTACATATATCCACATATGGTGGACTTGCCCTTGTGTTAATTCAATTTGGTCTTGGGTTTTTGACCTTTATCATGTAATAACAGGAATAAAGTTAATATTCTCTCCCGAAATTGCTTTATTACATGTAAGTTGGAATTTAAAAGCAAGTAATGATATATGCTTTGCGGTTCATTGCTTTACAGCCATGAAAATCACAATAGCTAGAAACTGGAGATCTTCTATACCTTTCCAGAAACACCAGATCCATTCCCAAATTAAATTACAAATTAACATGGAAAAATCTATAGCTGAAACCTTTCTCTCCCAAAGTAAAAAAGTAGACGCATAAGAAAACTGGTTAAAGAAATTGTCAACTATTTAGACGTTACCCTGAACAAATAAGAATAAACAAGAATTCCCTATAAACCTGAATAGACTGAACAGAATGTATTAAATCTGCCCCGATATGAATTAAGTATGGATGTTTTTGTATTTTATGTTGCTTTGTTTGTGTTGATGTAATGCAATGTATTGGTCAGATAAATGTATTGTCATTTTTTTTTTTTTTTTTAAATATCAAATAAATATACTATAAAAAAAAAAACTTTGATCACAAAGAAACCCGAAACTGGTACATTTGGATGAGGTCAGCTGTGATCCAGTTCATATGTGCTCCTTTTACCCTCACCTTACGCAGCGGGGCATGCCATTTCCAAATTTGTAGGTGTTCAGACTGAAAGAATACAACAACACAGTCTAGATCTGGGATAATGTTTAATCTGTGCCATGGGAGGTTCTTGATGTCATTAAGAAAGGATTCAAGATTAAAAAATTTTTGAAGTACCTAGTTATTTTAACCTTGGGAGAGGATTTAATAGCCTTTATTTTGCGCACGCAGTACACTAAACAGTGATCACTGAAAGTGTTTAGGAGAACACCGGCCTCCTGGATTCTATCAGGAGAAATGGAGAGAATCCAATCTAGCAGGGTATGGTTATGGCTTTTAATGTTTATACCAACAGTTCACTTTTTGGGTTTTGAGCTATGGTTCCACTAAGGAGATGGGCTATGTCAGAAAGGGAATGCACAGGGGAGCTAGGTGGGCGGTAGATTCCTGCAACAATTATTGATTTACTGCACAGGATCTCAATTGTGCCAGAAAGGAAATCAAAGGTGGCAGGAGGACTAAGGTTTTGTAAAGGGGTAAACTTTATGGAATTGTCAACATAAATAACAATGCCTCCTCTTCTCTTTGCTCTGTAATTTCTAAAACATGAATACCCCTGTATTGCAATGGCAGTGTCTGGTATTTTAGTCATTAACCATGATTCTGAGAGCACAATGATTTTTGGTTTGTAATGGGAACACCAGGCTTGCAGTGCATCCAGTTTAGGGAGGGGTACATAATGTGAAGCATGTATTATGGGAAAATAATGTCATCAAGTAGTACTGGAAATGTCATTATAACAAATAAAAGAATGATCCAAAACTCAGAGATGTTTATGGAGATGCTTCTGAATGATCTATAATGTACTTAGTATGCACTTATGATTTATATGGTATAGGTTCTAGAAATTGTTACCAGCTGTAACTTTTAAACAATTCAACATTCCAAGGAGACAGGAGTTGTATTACTATGCATATCACTGCCTAATCTTGTGCTCATTCCAGATATATCTGGACATTGTTTTCCTGAGTAAAGGAAATGGAAATTTAATTTTACTTCCCATTGTCCTTTATGTGCCTGAGCTCATATGTCCTCCCAGAAGAAGATCGCACAAAACTTTAGTCAACCTTATAAAAAGAGGGAGGATAAGGGGTATCGTATAGGATATAGATAACCTGTAACTGGCATCCACTTGAAAAATGCTAAAATATAGTCTTAATAAATATGTTTAGAAAAGTGTAAAACATCATCCAAAAAAATTATACAAAAAGAGATTATACGCTTTTGGAACTTTAAAAACAACGTAATTAAACAACCACTATAGTGCCCTGAGGGTGCCCCACCCTCAGGGTCCCACTCCCGCCGGGCTCTAGGGGGAGGAAGGGGTTAATCTTACCTCTTTCTCCAGTGCCGGGCGGGGAGCTCTCCTCCTCTCCGCCTCCTCTCCTCCCCTTCGGCTGAATGCGCATGAGCGGCAAGAGCCGCGCGCGCATTCAGCCAGTCTCATAGGAAAGCATTCACAATGCTTTCCTATGGATGCTGGCGTCTTCTCACTGTGATTTTCAATGAGACAGGCACTAGAGGCTGGATTAACCCTAATATAAACATAGCAGTTTCTATGAAACTGCTATGTTTATAGAAAAAAGGGTGAACCCTAGCTGGACCTGGCACCCAGACCACTTCATTAAAGGACCACTATAGTGCCAGGAAAACACTCGTTTTCCTGGCACTATAGTGCCCTGAGGGTGCCCCCACCCTCAGGGTCCCCCTCCCGCCGGGCTCTGGGGAGAGGAAGGGGTTAAACACTTACCTTTCTCCAGTGCCGGGCGGGGAGCATTCCTCCTCCTCTCCTTCCTAGCGACGTCATCTGCTGAATGCGCATGCGCGGCAGGAGCCACACGCGCATTCAGCCAGTCTCATAGGATTTTCACATTGAGAAGCACGCAAGCGCTTCTAGCGGCTGTCAATGAGACAGCCACTAGAGGCTGGATTAACCCTCAGTGTCTTAACCCTTCATTAAGCTGAAGTGGTCTGGGTGCCTATAGTGGTCCTTTAAGACAATGTAATTAAGTTTTCAAAAATTCACCAAATTGACGTGTGTTCAATTATGTAAAATCAGCAAAGTTTAAAATATAGAAATATTCAAATTCTAACTGTTTTCTGACAATTTAGCCTTATTCTTGGTTGTAATTTTTTTTTTTTGTGTGATCTTTTACATACAAAATTCTGTATCCAAAACAAACAATTGCTGGAATTAATCCTACAATAAGCCATTAAAACAAAGGCATTTTTCACTTGGAATAAACCAATTAAATTGACCAGTTCAGTGTCTAAAACTTGGCAGAAAGCTAAAATCTTACATATTTAGTACTTTGTAACTGTTGGGATGTGTTTCATTGACACATTGCACATGTAAAAGTAAATACATTTGTTTATTTATAATTAGTTTTTGCATTTTGTCTGAAACTGGCCCAAGAGTAAACTTTAGCTGTTTTTCTGGCTCATCATGACAGCATTACTTATGGGAAGCTCTGTCCTCCAGCCAGATCAGGACAGGAATTGACCAACAACAAAAAAAAGAGACTGTGTGCATGAAAGGTCCCTCTCCTTGAATACAACAGTCTTTTTTTTACTGTCCTTAGTTGGACCGATAGAAATATCTTTCCTAAATATTTTTTACTTTTTGGCCACCTTTCTGTGTGTACCATGTTTCTACCAGTCACAGTTCTGCCTCTCAGTGCCTGAAATTTTAAAGCATATGGGTGTATATACATTTATTTATCTGAGGATTGGCAGTAGTTCCATTACAGAAATCTTTATATTATCCCCCACCATAGGTTTTTCATGGAGCAGCCTTCTTCACTTATATATTTTCAGTGAATTCTGAGAGAAGAATTTCATGCTACTGTCACGGATCTCGCCGTGCCATCCAGACAGCCAGACGTGGTTGCCCCAGAAGTGCCCAACAGGGGATTTGACCTGAATCAGATCAGTATTAGCTGGGTATTTAAGCCCTGGGAACTTTGTCAGTTCATTGACTCTGATTCTGCTGTTTGGTTCCTGTTTCTGAGTATCCAGATTGTGTGTTCTCCAGTTTGTTCCTGGCTCCTGACCTCGGCTCTTCTTATCGATTACTCTGATCTCTGGCTTCCCCTGACTATGGCTTTCCAAGACTACTCTTCTGCTTGTCCTTGACTATACTGCAACTTGGAGTAAATCCCTGCACAGCCCCCGTGCACAGGCTCACAGGCCAGGTGAATTCTTACCTGACCGCCTTGGTCTGTGTTTATTTGCAATGGTGAGCAAAAAACTCTGCCTACCAGACTCCCAACTAAGGTAAGCTGTGACAGCTACTTACTCTGACTGCAGGATCTTCATTCATGATTTTCCATTCGCCCCAGACGAATTGCAAGCAAATATTGGGGCATTCAGCGCTTTTAAATGCTTTGTTGGTAATTATTAACATGTTCTCATTTGCAATTTGTTCTGTCGATTCCTCAAATGCAGCATGAACGTTCTCGCGTTCCTGGTCTCCTGTACTGAACAACTCTGGCGAATCTCTCAAGTATTTATATTGCATTCGAAAAAATGTGCCGTGAACCATTTAGCTTCTCCAAACGCTGAATGCATATCTGCGAATCATCTCTAATTCTTAAAGGTGCATTTACCTCTAAGTCTTTAGAGAGACAATATACATTGTTTCTGCTCTTCCCAAAAAAATTGTGAAAACATCTTACACTGCCTAAACCCTTTTCTTTGGCTAGGTAATTATATGAACTATATTTTCTACGATTTGAAAACTTTAGCTTCTTTTATCATCCTTAAGGGGGATTCTCCTTTCTTACCTATTCTTTTTTAATTATAGATGGCTTTTCTATCTGCTTCACATCGTTTGGGTTCCAAGAAAAATAAGTGAGCCAATATGATATTTTTCGCATTTTTGGGGATACAAAAGAGTGCCTATAGGCCCCAATATGTATATGTAGGGCCTTTATGTTTTGCAGCCCAGGTATGGGCCGGCAAAGATCATGGAATTCCATGCCTCCAACAAAAAGAAAATTAAGAAAAATCAAACCGGCGCATGGGCTGCAACACAATAGCACCTGATGGGAAAAATTTAAGCTTAAGTTGCGTGACAGGGGTAGCTCAAGCACAACCCAAACCATCACCACATGAAGAACTCAAATCCTGGACAACTCAGGTCATTGCTAAGGATTTTAAGGCCACCATAAAGAGTATGATTCCTGCTAAACAAAGCGTCATAAAGTGGACACTTTTTCCAAATCTGAACCAGACTACTTGGAGCGCAAATCAGAGGATTAAGAACAAGAGATGAAGTACTCTAAGTCATTAGAATATAAAAAGGTGGATAAATTGATCTCTTATTAGAGATACTCTAAAAATTCCAGGAAAAAAATCTGAATCTTTGGAATCAGATAGACCTACCTTTCCTGTACACATCCTACTATCAAAGGTGTTTCCATGAAGAATGGGAAAAAACACCAAAAATCTTTCTATTTGCTCCCAAGGACTGCAAATCATGAAACTTGGTGCCTAAAATATCATAAAAATAGCCAAGTGAACTACTTTACCTACTGACTCCAATGCATACATAAAAGACCACATGGAAAAATGGTTGGATGCAATTTTAATTAAGGCCCATTTAGCCCTAGCATCTGCCCTACATCCAGCTATATCCTTAACCACCTTATCCCATAAAAGTCTGGCTAGACAACCTGGAAGAGAACCTCTTATTGAAAAGTACAGGGAATTTAAACTGGCTACATAATTTAGTTCAGAAGCCTCTTTGGACATCACAAAAAGGCACGGCCCTATCAGTGGCATCCAGAAGGGCCTTATGGCTGCATTTATGGGGAGCGGAATATTCATAAAAATCCTCCTTATGCTCTTTACCATTCCAAGGTGATCTACTATTCTGAAAGGTGCTGGATGAAGCAAAAAAGTATTTCTTCCCCAAAGAAAAGGACCCTTGAATTCATTTGCATGGAGAGTCAAAAGATTTAGTGACTGGCCCTTTTCAAAGAAAATTTTTATGGAGGAATTTCCACTCATCTTCTTCTAACACAAAACCTATTCGAGGAAGACTATTCCATACCTCATAAAAAAATTCTGAAGATGTGCAAGCCCAGTCAGATCCCATAGGGGGAAGACTTCGACATTTCCATTCTGTCTGTGCCAAAAAATACCTCAGACACAAGGGTCTTATCCATTTTAAGCAAAGGATACAGATTGGAGTTTGAGACATTCCCAACAAAAAGATGATTAAAACAATCTCCAGTTCCAAAAGGAAAAAAAACACATAGCAATGAAAAAATGCATCTCCAAACTACTCCTCCAGTGAGTATTTGAAGAAGTTCCTCCCTCCACAAAATTACAAGGAACTTTATTCCATCTTGTTCCTAGCCCTGAAATTCAATGGGGAATAGAGGTTGTTCATATACTTGAAATAAACCAATATGAATTTTTAAAAAGCAATCTTTTAATATGGAATCAATCTCAAACATTTCTTTGCGGTCAAGTACAAAACAGACTCATCTAAGTAGGAGCTGTCAGAGGCTAAATAACCGCTATATGCGTCAATGCCAATTAACAATCTGTTAATTGGCATTGTATTTGACAGTAAGGTTTTATGTGAGTCGGATACCTACGTTTTGAACTTATCATAGAGTATCAGCCTTTTGGTTATGGAATACCTATCCGTGTACGTTCAAGCGTATTTCCATGACATTTACTCTTTGTATAAGCTTCACAGGTTTGCGATAACTGTGGGGTGATACTGTTTCTACACTGTTTCAATACTTTATCACTACTTAGAATCAGTTTCAGTTTACACTGACAGCCTGTTCGCATACGTTTAAGTTAATCTCTATGTCATTGAATCACAGTACAGGCTTTAAGTCAACTACCTTTCTGAAATAACACATATTGTTCATCAGGGGTAGATCTGAAACCTTTTTGTTTTGTTTTGCTTGCTTTCTATATATTTTCTGTGTTATTTAATTTAATGTTATTTTTAGGATCAAGCCCATTTTGGGGTACTTGTTAGCACAGATCTAGTCACCCCTAGTGGAGATGATTGGTAGACATCCTGTGAGGAGCTATATATTCTAAGCCTTCATAAGTGTCTCTGAGGACTTTTAGGTACCTCTTTTACCAATTCTCTCTCCACTTCTGATACCTCTCCCCTCCTCTTTTAATTTTGGCAATTTCTGCATTTAGTAGACATACCAAGCAATTGTACTCCAAACATTATTGTTGGGGATCAAATCATCCCGGGCCCTTTGTGGATGATGGATATTTGCCAACTCATTCAGAGCTCTGGAAATTGGAAATGAATAGCAGAGACATGTTCAATAACCAATTCAAATTTTATTATACGTCATTTATATTTATACCCCATTTTCATGTCGGTAGGGGCCATGAGCATTAACGACAGATTGTTTTTCACAAGTTATGAGCAGCTATTTCTCGTTATCCTACATTATATAACGCATGTATATTTGATAAAAACAAACTTACAAATACCAAAACCTTGGACAATTAACAAGAACATTTCAAAATCAGTATGGTCATTCTCCTAACTAGGATTTTAGATAAATTTATTTCCGAGAATCGGAGATACAATTCCAAATTTATTCTTGGTTCACATTAACCCTTATATGAACAGCTAGGATAGATAGTAAAATTGATATTCGTATCTACAATTATAATAAATGTAATTTGCAGTATCCCAGCATTGGTATGCGTAGGTAAAGTCTAATTTAGTATTTTACTGTATATACTTTACTCTGCACTATTATTCTTACTGGGATTCACTTTA